CAAGGTAAACTTATTGTTAGAGTGAGTTACAAACCTTGGGTCAGGCCCTAAAAGTGAAGACAGGAATCTTTTTTCTGCATTTCTTTTATTCTATCTCGTGCAAATTATTTCACAATGGTTATGCTTTTAACCAACAATACGCTTTGTTTAAGATTAGATGGTAGAGTTGAGAGACACTACACAAATTTCTGACCATGTTCCCGATATCTCACTTGCTCGTACAAGCGCGAGGCAAGTGCGAGTCGAACGTGAATGGCGAGTCACGCGCGAAGGGAAGAGCTGAAGCCTTGCTCCTCGCGTTTGCCTCGCACTTGCATCCACTCGCCTAAAAGAGGCCAAAAAGTGACCGAAATCAGTTTTCTAACAATATTTGTATGTAACATGGTTGACTGCCTCATCTGTTCTGTGACAATGGGTGCTTACATAAACATCCCCAAGATACAAACGAAAGTAGCTAACCCAGGTGAGTTGTGTCTAGGCCCAATAAATCTTATAACGTTTAACTGAATGATCATATAGAAATACCATTCAACCACCTCGCCTTGATCTTATCTCTTTCAGCCATCATAGCTGCTCCAGACTTGTGGCTCTCGTTTCTTGCGAGGCTAAACCCAGAGGATCAGAAGAACAAGGCTTATCTATCTGTCTTCGCCTGTCTGGTTGGCGTGTGTTTTATATTTACTATCATTCGGGCTTATGGATTCCTCCTAGTTTTTCTAAAGTGCGCCGAGCGTCTTCACGATAAAATGGTTGTGGCCATTTTACAAGCACCTGTCCTGTTCTTTGATTCAAACCCAGTAGGAAGAATCCTAAATCGCTTCTCCAATGATATTGGCTGCGTAGATGAGTTGTTACCCAAAACATTCCTGACGGCAATGCAGAGGGTCTTGGCGATATTTGTCCAAATTCTGGTGACAGTTGCCACAAATGTTTGGCTGACGTTTCTTGTTGTTCCAATTTCCGTGCTGGTCGTTTTTCTATCCAATTATTACTTGAAGACTGCCAGAGAACTAAAGAGGTTAGAGTCGATATCCCGAAGCCCAGTGTTGGCTCATTTTTCGGAGACCGTGATAGGGCTGGACACGATTCGTACGAGAGGAAGACAGAGAGATTTTGTGGATACACTTTACAGGTATGTGGGAGACATTGATTCGGTGTGTGATGCCAGAGCCGATAAATATACAGGGCACAAATGACTCATAATTGCTCGTTTTCTGTGAGCTATTTATTTTTCCTTTAACGCAAATACATCCTTCTGATAGGGTTTCAACAGACCCATAATATGAACAGTCAGTCAAAAAAATCGCGGGATGCAGAAATTTCACGA